CCAGGCAGCAGCTGCGGCTGCCAGAGGGCTGAGAGGTGGAGGCAGCTCGGCCAGGCAGCGCTCGCCAGCAGGCTCACCTCCACAAGGAAGGCCATGGCGGGAACCTCCCAGCGGGGCTTCTCCCTGATGAGCACCCCCAGCAGGCAGAGGGCAACTGGGGAACACAAGGGGCTCGAGACACGGCGCATCTCCCTGGCAGGGGGAAACAGGCACCGTCAACCCTGAGCTGGGTGGGCAAACCTCTCCCAGGACTCACTCACAGAGCTATGGTCTTTCCCCACCAGCTCACGAGGGGACACATGCACCTTGGCAGGCGGCTCCTCCTGTGTCCCCGCCTCTCCCAGCCTTTTCCACTCTGCTCAGCCATCCCTGAGGGCTGACAAGGCCCTCTGGCCCACGACCACGGGCACTGTGGGGGTGCCCCGTGCAGAGGGCAGAAAGACGAGGGGCAGCAGGGACACGGGGGTCTCACCTGGCCAACAAACCCACTGCATAATGCTGGGTGTCAGCATTGAGGAGCGTGTCCCAGCCACGTTTCTGTTCCATTGCTGTCGCAGTCTTGTCTGGGATCGGGAGACAGACCAGCGACAGGGGTTCTTGCCTTGCCTGCAGATAGTATAATGGCAATTGCAAGTGCTGGCAGGTAAAGTTCACTTATGTGAGGAGCCCCGAGTAAGAGACACACACACACACGATTTGAACACCTGCACAGCCAAAAGCTGATCCACCTTATTAAACAAAATGGAGGGGTTTCATACCCCCTGGGGCGGAATATACTGGAAAAGGGGAACAACCAGGGCGGAGCATGCAAATCTGCTCAGAGTTAGAGGTTAACAGTTAATACATAAACATGACAGGGTGGTAACTTGGGAGGAGAAAACTTGGGATAAACTGATTGGTCAGTACCTCAGGGTATGCCGACCAATGGGAAGCTGTATCCAAGCCTGTCAGGCTTCTCAGTCCATGAGGGAGAAAGGGAAAATCGGGGAGACAACCTAAGAATAGGTTTTTATATTTGGCTGAACCACTGCAAACAGTCTTTTAAGCACACTGAAGTTCATTGTCCACTTCCTCAAGCTGGTTTTTCCATTCCTCAAAGGTGGTCTCGCTGTTCTCAGCCTCCTTCCACATCCTGAATGCATTTTCCATATCCTCATGGACACTCTGGTTTCTAACATCTCCTTCTTTTTTTCTTTTTTAAATGAACTGAAAATACCTGCTTAGTGACAATTCCTTTGAGATAGGAAGAGAGATAAGTGAGGGATGCAGAGAGACAAACAAAAAGCATTTGTTTCAACCAGTTTGGAAGTGAGGGTAAATGCAATCCATCAAAAATATCAGCAGAGTAAAAATTTGCAGGTGCACGTGCAGCCTTAATTAAATTCTTCAATCCCGTAAAACCGTAAAAAGCATAGTAGTTGGATGGTTGAGGCTTGGAAAAATTAAAACAACAGAAATTGTCAACATCCCTACAATTTAGGTTTTGGGTCAGCAAGAAAAACTCAATGGCAACACGGTAATTTAAGGATAGGCCAGTAAAAAGTAATGTAGTGTTTATCAGACTGTTAATGGTTTTGCTGATGGAATGAGCTTTCTTTGAAATTCTACGCCTCAATTGTTCTAGTGTCCTAAAGTCATCTATGCTTTTTATATCCTGGGGAAACAAATTTTGGAATGTGCAACTAGATGAATTCTGAACTTTGTTATTTGTCTTAGGGGGTAGGTATTGTGAAGAAAGGAGTTCAGCCGGATTATACATGGTCATAACTCCTATTGAACAAGGGCCATCTACAGGGAAGGCTGGAATTCCATTCCAGGCCCGGTCCCCACATAACAGAAATTCATCATTGGGAAGCCACCAGGGCCTTTTGCAGGTTTCTGTGTGTAAGATGTTAGTTGTATTGCACCATAAAGATGCATTCTTGTAGATGTTAGAGTATGGGGTGACTTCTTGGGGTTCTATGTCAGTACGACGAGGGTCTCTTTTGAATACAAAACATTTACTAGCCCTTACATTTCCTAAATAATCGATTTCTTGTGGTTCTGGGCCTCCGACCGTGTAATACCTGTAAAACTGGTCGACATAGAATTCTATGGGTAAGCCAATTAAGCATGTTTTGAGAGGGTTATCAGCATTGGAGGTGGGCACACAAAGAGTGTCAGTACCAAGGCTTTTGGCTAGATTTACCCAGGTGTTTCCTTGTTTGGACGCGGTTCGCGGCACAGGGTTTCCTACTGGTGCTTCACAGGAGGGAGAGATGAAGGCGATGATGAGGATGATGATGCAGATGGAGAATTGGGTTCATTGAAAATGCGAATTCTCCTGGATGGTACCCATAATGGTCCGGTGTCTGTGGAAAGGCAAGCGTGTCCTTTCCCCCATGTGATTAGAGGGAAAGGACCTCTCCATTCATTAGTAAAGAAATCTTTGTACGTGACTCTGGCTTTGTTTTCTGGAACATTATTATTAACAGCTCTGTTTCCTTAGGTCATGCAACAATCTCCATTTGCCAAATGACTTTTTGATTACAAATACTGGGGAGTTCCAGGGACTGACTGACAGGGTAATGTGGTTCAAATTTAGTTGTTCTTCAACTAGTAGTTCTAATTGGTACAGCTTTTCTTCAGGGAGAGGCCACTGGTTTACCTATATAGGTTTTTGTGTCAGCCAATTAAGTTTGGGTAGCAGCTGCTCTCCAGTGGCCGATGTTACAAATTTGCTTCAAGTTTGGTACCCCATTGAGTCATGATGTCCCTGCCCCAGAGTGTCATTGGCAGAGGGAGGATAAGTGGCTTACATGATGCGTGCTGATTGTCAGTATCTGTAAATAAAACAAGAAGTTTACTCTTTTGTGGTTTGGTAGAGCCCCCTGCCGCAGCCCGGTGGGGGTGAAGGAAACGGACACCACTGCTGTTGGAGTGCTCAGCTGGGATATTTATTAGTGCTCAGCCAAAAACTTGGGGTAGAACAGGAAGGGCTGCAACACTACGGGATATTGCCAGCTAGCGAGCTAAAATGGCATCCTCGAGTGAGGGACGAACAGGGGTTTGTATAGGGTAGGAGGGAGAAGGGACTAGAACATGGGAGGAGTTTAGGGATTGGCAGGGGGTACAACCAATAGGGAATCGTACAGAGAACGCGCCAATACTAACAACCAATAACGTAACGAATCACCTCAGCAAGGCCCACCCATGCTGCAGCTCTAACCATCCAATCCTAGCTGAAGGATTTTAACCAATGGGATTACAGGGTTTTGTGAGGGGAATGAAACCTTCTAATATAATACATAAATATAACTCCCATAACAAACATCAAATATGTTAAGTATCATTAAAACCATTCATAAACATTCAGGTAAATAAAGTCCATGTTTCCAGTAATGAATAAAAGTCCTCTTTTCAAAGTCTGTTCAATATTTGTCGTAAGTCTCCTTCCAACGATGGAATTCAGCTCTTTTCGGGTCCTCCACATCTCCCCCTTTTTTGTTTTCTTGACGATAGAGGGTATCATAGTCAGGCGGTTTCACGTGGACCTCCAGGACATTCGGGTTCACTTGTGGCAAGCAGTATTTCTTTAAAATACTAACTAAACAAGACATCATACACAGAACCAATACAATAGAAATCAAGATAGAAATACAAGCCAAAAGTAATTGTCTGGCCCAGTTCGGTAAAGAGGGGAACTTTAAACCTTCAAAAAGATCAGGGGTGTGCCACTTTGGATCTTGTCTAAGTTTTGAAACTAATTCATGTAAGGTGTTAATGTTTGCCTGTATGGATTTAGAGTGATCAGAAAAATTAGGACAACACAAATCTGTAAATTCTTGACAGCCGTGGTTATGAAGGACTAACAGAAAATCGATTGCTGCTCTGTTATGTAGAGAAACTCCCTTCAAGGTTAGGCTATCCTCTAACAATTCCTGGAGTGTTAATGATGTCGCATTGGCCTCTTTGGCCATCCAACACGTCATATGTGATAGGGTGGTTTAGGGCATGGTCGGTGGCTATGCCTGCTAGAAAAAAGGATACCCAAAAGTCTTTACTGCTGGGCCATAGCCAGACTGACGGGTCACAGTCTTGTGACACCGGCAGATAGTTTTTCCACGATGACTGTGTTGGACTTACTGGTTCTTGTGTTTCACTGGACCAGAGAATAGGAAATTTGGAGTTATCAAAATTGATTTGAAAGTTGGATAGTTGTAAGTGTGTTAACGAATTTGGAAATGTTAGAGAGCCATTGGTGACTTGTAGTTGTGTTTTGGGAGTGTTATCTTTTGTCTTTTGTTGCAGCTGTCTATTAGGTGAATGAGGGAAGGAATCCCAGGCCAGAGGATACTTTTCTTTATTTCTTCTAATATCCTCAGCTACGGATGATGTCATGATCTGTCTCTTATTACGGCTACGTATTCCAGGTTGGATAATTTTAGATTTAACTTCTCCTGGAATACTAAGGTTGTAAGGATGGAACAAAGTAATTTTCCCGATAGTACAGGGACCTCCCGTAGGGTTGGCTGGGATGCCATTCCATGCTCGTTCTCCACAGATCATAAAGTCACCAGGGAGCAGCTCTCTCGGTTTAACCATTGGTCCTACTGGGATTTTGGTAGGGGTGGTGCCATTGCACCATAAGGCCGAATTTTTGTAAATGCCCTTTTTAGAAGTTACATCAATTAATTTATCTTTTAATGCATTAGGTTTCGGGACAAACATAAAACATGAACTTGTGATTGTGGAACCTAACAATTCAAACTCAATAATGGGTTTGTTTGTAGCCGGGGGATTTTTGTATGCATCTAACATGGGTTTGCTTAATGGAACGCCTACCAGACAAGTTGAAAAAGGATTTGCCACATTGTTAGTTGCTAGGCAGATGGTATCTGTGTTGGCTTCTTTGGCGAGCTGGACCCAAATGTTCTCTCCTTGGCCCATAGCCCAAGATGGTACCTTTGATATTGGTGGAGCAGTTACCGGAGTGATGGTTATGATGATGCTGACGGTGACGAGCCATCCGATGGTCGTGGTGGTTCGAAGGATGAGCATGCTGGTCTTTCCTGGTAGATTTTTATTCTCTTTAGCGGTACCCATTTAGTTCCTGAATCTGTTAAAATACAAGCATGACCTTTCCCCCACGTGATGAGAGGGAAAGGTCCTGCCCATTTCTCTGTTAATACATCTTTATACATGATTTTTGCTTTGGCGGAAGGTATATTTGACTCTGACTTAAAATGTTTCTCAACAGGTGTGGTGTAAAAAGAAGTGTTATAATCATCAAATCTGTTCAGAAAATTTATAACATACGTAGCTTTATCCAATTTTTCCTGTGGGGATAACCCGAAGGTTCCCCCTTTTTGTTTAATAAGTAAATTTTTTATTGTTTGGTGGGCTCTTTCCACTATTGCCTGGCCAGTGGGGTTATGGGGAATACCAGTGACATGCTTAATTCCCCAAGCAGAAAGAAATGCAGTAGTTTCCTTTGCAACGTATGAGGGCCCATTGTCTGTTTTGATGGTGTGGGGGACTCCCATACGTGCAAAGGCTGCTAAGAA